CAAACTTTGGCCTCAGACATCACACACAAGCTTTCAAAAACACACACACTACAACATAGTCTTACACACTGGTGAGATCAATTCAAAACAATATATCCAAAACTGGTAAGTTATGTTGCTTGTGGTTCTCCCCCCTCAAAAACCTTTTCACATGAACACAAAAGACACAACCAATGTATACATTGGCACATTATTATTCATTCATGTACTACACAGCACAACTGTAAAAAAAATAAATAAAATGATTCCACCTCAGCATCCCGTCTTTGTTCTGGGTCAGGCCAGAGAATCTCGTCCACATCACCGGCTATATTGGCCCTAGCCAGGCAGTGAGGGTAAAATCCTCCTGCATGCCTGATCCACCCCTGGCATGCATCTACCGATATGTCTAGGCAGGTTTCTTCTATGGCCTGGAGGTGAGCATGGATATAAGGTTCTCGGTCATACACTTTCCACCGCCATGCCGAAAAAACTCCTCTATTATTATTATTCAACTTTATTTGAAAAGGGACCATGTACAATTTTAACAAATGTTTCCATTTCATGCATTGTACCGAATTTAGCCAATGGCTAGTTTTAATCCGCGGTCCCTTGGCAGGTAATCATAATCACAGATAGACATAAGAACAAAATACATACAATACAGTAATACTTATACACATCCCATCAGAGCCAAAAAAGAACAGTAAAAATAACATTCAGTTAAGCCACAACTATATCAGTGTTTACAGATTTGAGTTGCTTTTAAATAAAATTTTAGTTTTAATTTAAACATGTCAATAGATGTGCACATCCTTATGTCTTCTGGTAAAGTGTTCCAGTGAATAACAGCTTTCACTGAGAAAGACGATAACCCAAAGGCAGAATGACGAAAAGGAACAACACAATCACTAGTAGATGATGATCTAGTAGATCTTACAGAGACTGTAGAGCGAAAATGCACAAAATCATGAAGTACAGAAGGGGCTAAACCATTTAAAATTGTATATACCATACACACATTTGAGAAAAGTCTAAAATTATCAAAGCTCACAAAATTGTATTTCTCCAAAACCCTACAGTGGTGATATTGGTTAGGCTTTTTGTCTAGAGTTTTTAAGGTCGGTTTATAAAGAGATTTTAAAGGTTTAATAACAGTTTCCCCTGCTTGACCCCAACATGTCAGACAGTATGTCAGATGAGAAAAGATTGTAGCATGCATAAAAGTCTTGGCTACATCAGTGGGTAGACATTGTCTAATTTGTCTAAAATTGATCAAGTTATATTTTGTAGTCCTCACCAATTTCTGAAAATTGGAACTTAAATAATTTAGAGAGAAGAACGTTGTGATTAACTAAACTAAATCTAAAATTATGGCACCAACTGTTCCACCTTTGTCAAGTTTAGATTTTATTTTATCTGTTAAATGTAAAGTAGCTGTTTCAGTAGAATGATTTACTCTGAAACCAAATTGCATACAGTGTAAACCAACCTTAGCTTTATTAAGATAAGATGTAAATTGTTCAAGAACTACCTTTTCTGCAACCTTTGAGACTACTGGCAATATGCTGATTGGTCTATAGTTGCTTACCTCAAAATGATCCCCAGATTTAAAAATAGGAGAAGCAATGGCTTGCTTCCATGCAGTAGGAAAAACACTATATTCAAATGATAAATTAATTAAATGAGAGATAACAGGAGCTAAAGTATCTTTATGAGTTTTAAGAAACTTAGTATTAAATTGTACCTACCTACATTTAGTATTTCTTAATGAGCTGATGACTTTGTTAACCTGTGTTTCATTAGTCATGGCTAGGTTAAAACCTTGGCTATCAACATCAGACGGTAGAATAATTTTCCATTTTTACAAATTTTTCCCCCAGTTCGTTAACAGAATTAATAATAAAAAAAAAAAAAATTATTAAAAACAGTAGCAATGGAATAGTCATCTAGAATAAAATTCTCTTGAACTTTGATCTTAAGATCTCCTGGAGAATTCATCTCCTTCTGTAGAAGACTATTAACATTTTTCCAAATCAAGTTGCGGTTTCCTTTTACCTCGTTCAATTGGTGAAGATAATTCGATTTAGCTACTCTCAGCTCTCGAATAACTTTATTCCGCAGTCCTTTATAACAAAGCCTGTCGATATCCTTTCCTGTCTTAATAGCCATCTTTAATGCGGAGTTCCTGTTCTTCATCAGCTTCCATAAATTGTAATTGAACCAAGGTAGATTATTTTTATACCCATTTTTTTTCTGAACGTTTGTAGTAAATTTGTCCCTTACAGAGTTGGTCCTATTGATGAGCGTGTTACAGTTACTATCGGGTTTAGAAAGGGAGTGTATGCAGGCAGAAAGAAAAACCTGGGGTTATTGGTAAACCAGTCACAAACCAGAGCAGTGCGATGGAAGCTGACATTATCCCAAACAACAATGTAACGAGGCTGCTCTGGCTGTGCTGGTTCCCTGAGGTCCAGCTGGAACATATGCTCTTAGACCATCAAGGAAAGCAAGGAGGAGCATAGTGTTATAGGGTCCTAGAATGGCATGACGGTGGAGTACCCCTCGTTGGCTGATGGCTGCACACATAGTGACATTCCCTCCACGCTGACCAGGGACATTTACAATAGCCCGATGGCCAATTATGTTCCTCCCCCTCTCCTTTTGGTCAGGTTGGAACCAGCCTCATCCACAAAGATAATTTCATGGGGTACAGGCCGGCCTTCAATCTCAAAGATTCTCTGCGAAACACAGTAGAGTAAATCACTGCCCTGAAGCACAGTTCAAGAGGGCACAAATGGCAGCATAAACTGCTATCCTGGGATGGTACACAATACTTCATACAATATCAAAACTCATACCTGAACATATTCCACTCGTTGGTCTTTTACTCTGTCAGAGTTTCGTTCGAAAGGGATGCGGTGTGCCGGTTTCATCCGGAACCGGTGCTTTCGGAGGATACGATCAATTGTGGAGAGGCTGATGGCATTTATCCCTCGAAAATGATGATTATCCTCAATCACTCTCCTTTGAATCTCTCGCAGGTGGATTACATTATTGGCAATGACCATGTTTACAAGCTCCCTCTCTTGCTCCTCTGACAAAAGCCTTAGCCTGCCTCCACCAGGTGGTCATCTCTGTGTCCTACAAAAATAGAAGCACACATTACTATAACATCCTTTTTACAGGAAAAAATGGAAACATACTGAAACTATTTGTATGCGAGGCAATTTGATGCATTTCTTTATTACAGTAGCATAGAGCAACAGTGTATGCACTCTAAAGTTACTGTACAGAGCAGTCTTACTGGAAGTACACCTACCCGTTTTCCTTCCTGAAGGTTCTGATGATGGAGGCGACGGTGAAGCGACTCAAATTTGGCTGTACTCGTTGCCCAGCCTCCCTCATAGTCATACCATGGACAAGGACATGGTCAACTAAAGTGGCTCGAATTTCATCTGAGACTGCTTGTCTCCTTGCCCTTCTTCTCCCTCCTCCTCCTTCACCACGTCCTCCTCCTCCTCCTCCTTCTCCTTCTCCTTCTCCTTCTCCTTCTCCCTCTTCTCCCTCCTCTTCTTCCTCTTCTTCCTCCTCCTCCTCCTCTTTGACCTATTCCTTCATTTCTCTGTGGATCCATTGTTCCAAAACTCAGTGAACTGATTCGGGCCCTTTTATCTATTTATTGAAGGATCTGATTGACGTGTGTTCAATTTTGACTCTTAGTGTTTCCACCTGGGTAATTGTTTGCTAATTGAGCTCAAGCTGTGCTGACTTGAGTGAACAGTATTGAATGCTAGTGCTTTCTAAATGACCACATGGTGTATCATGTGTTAAAGCAGGGGAATAGTGTTTATAGTTCAGCAAATATTGAAAAATTGCGTTATGGTTTTGAAATATTAGTTCAAAAGCCTGGTTATAGTGTTTTAGCAATCAAGAAAAACTGTAAAAAGGTCTTAAATGGTTTTGCCTCTAGTTTTTTACCTTAAATATAATGTGATATTTTTGTTGGCAAAACTGACACACTGTCAAACACACTGACTGATTGATAGAAGCAGTGTGAAGTGTGTCTAGTGATAATCACTGTAGAGTTTGATGATGGGTTGTGTGTTGTTGTAGATGTACAGTCTGGGTGAGGATGGTCATGAATTATTTAAATGGTTTGGTTAAAAATGCAGCAGATTGGCCCTGGCCCAGCGTCAAGAGGGAGAGCAGTGCCCCAGATGTGCCTTCTGCTCGAAGCGCTGAGAAACACTGCAGTATGACACCATGACATGAATTATTATGAAATATGAGAAGAGAATAGCTGGACATCAGCAAAATTCTACACAAGCTGCTCGTGATGACATTTGTTCTGATATTAAAGCACATGATTTAATGCTGATGGGTTTGTTATGAAAAAAATGGCACTTTCAAAGAATTGGGTACAACCAAATTGACTCACCAAAATTTAGTTTAGCATGTAAATATAGTTTAAAACATTGATGCATGGGATTTCATTGTCTTATAGCATTGAACATGAAAGAAACACGCTAATTAAAATTTTTATGAAAATATAGGTATAAAGTTTCAAGAAAATGAATGAATGAACATACACACATGCATACTAGGTAGTGTAGTTGTGTGGAAATATAGAGTTTATTTATTTGCCTTTTCTCCAGAAAAAATGTGCAAATGTTGCTTTCTGAGTATCACAATTTTATGTAATGTTTACATTTTTTTATTTTTTATTATACATTTAAAAATTATCTAAATGCTTTTTCTCTTCAACATGTGACTCAAGATATTGTAAATTCTTTTTGGAAAAGTCACGCCTCAGCAAATGAGATGTTATGATATTGCTCACTCTGCATTTTCCCATAAATATGGAGTCAGTGTGGCTGAATATTTCACAGAAAGCAGTCATTTATTATTAAAGAGTTTTACAGTTTACTCTGTCAGCCAGAAACAATATACACTTAAACTGTCTTGCAATATTTCACTGTGTTGTGTAAAGGTTAACAAAAGACTAAAGAACAAACCTAATGGTCCTGCATCCATCTCATCCCCATCCCTTTGTTTTCCAGAAATCATTCATTCAAAGTCCCACCAAACGTCACCCCAAATCCATTACTCAGGTATTCCAACCATCCTGTTATCGGTCTGAAAGCTGTCAGTCACAGTGTTGAGCTGTTTGACATATACATTATATGTTATGTATAGAGTGGTTTATGTCTGTCTCTCTCTGTTTGTCTCTCAGGTGCCGTCAGAAAAGATCTTGCGGGCAGGTAAAGTGTTACGAAACACCATCCTGTCCCGAGCACCTCACATTATCAGAGACAGGAAGTACCACCTTAAAACATACAGGTAAGTGTAGTCTTAGGGTTTTATTAGTATTGTTGTTATTATTATTTACTGTGTTAAATATTATATATTTTATAATTCATTACATTCTTATATTCTATAAGCAGTGTTGGGAAGGTAACATTGGAAATGTAATAGGTTACAGATTACAAGTTAACCTATTCATAATAAGTAGTGTAACTATTTCAATTACTTTATTAAAGTAATGTAACTGATTACATTGGATTACTTTTTGATTACTTTTCTAAATTTAAATTTCTAATTTTTTTTCTACATTTTTCTAAATCATTTTGAAACATTTAAAGCAGGCAGAGTTATCCTTACAGCAGTGCTACTCAACACTAATTACTGTCAGACTTTCAAAATCCTTCATCACTTGAATTAAGATTATAATAATTTTATTTTGAAAGCACAGCCACCAATAAATCGGACTTTAGCAGCTCTGTTTACTTTGAGATCATCCTGAGGTTAAATCCAGATTTCAAATCATAACAAGATCTAGTTTAGTAGCTATGATACTGTTATCTTTGCATAGCTACGACAGAAAACACTGGCATCTAACACATTTAAATTTCTATTTTTTTTTCTACATTTTTCTAAATCATTTTGAAACATTTAAAGCAGGCAGAGTTATCCTTACAGTAGTGCTACTCAACACTGATTACTGGCAGACTTTCAAAATCCTTCATCACTTGAATTAAGATTATAATAATTTTATTTTGAAAGCACAGCCACCAATAAATCGGACTTTAGCAGCTCTGTTTACTTTGAGATCATCCTGAGGTTAAATCCAGATTTCAAATCATAACAAGATCTAGTTTAGTAGCTATGATACTGTTATCTTTGCATAGCTACGACAGAAAACACTGGCATCTAACAATGCCTTGGGGAAAAAAACAGTTAATCTTAAAAAGTAAAGTATATACATAAACCCAAATAGGAAATAAAGGAGTTATCGAATAAGCATGTGTCCTATTCTGTGTCCTAATAAACTCCTGAAACATTGGTGTCTCATATTTTAGAGCCGTCAGTGCAATTCTGGAACGAAATCAATTAAATCTGTATGTGTTAAAATATTCAGATGTAACTCCCTTTGTAATCGTTAACATTTTCATAAGTAACTGTAATTTAATTACACTTTTTCTCAGGAACTGTAACAGATTACAGTTACTTTTATTTTGTAATTAAATTACGTAATTCCATTACATGTAACTATAGGTACTCCCCAACACTGTTTATAAGTCATTAAATACAGCTCTCTGTGTGTGACTCAGTGGATTATCTGTTTTCTCTCTCTCTCTCTCGCTCTCTCTCTCTCTCTTTCTCTCTCTCTTTCTCTCTCTCTCTCTCGCTCTCTCTCTCTCTCTCTCTCTCTCTCTCTC